CACTGTCTCTCCCAGCCCCCACTGTCTCTCCCAGTCCCCACTGTCTCTCCCAGTCCCCACTGTCTCTCCCAGTCCCCACTGTCTCTCCCAGTCCCCACTGTCTCTCCCAGCCCCCACTGTCTCTCCCAGTCCCCACTGTCTCTCCCAGCCCCCACTGTCTCTCCCAGCCCCCACTGTCTCTCCCAGACCCCAGCATTCATGAACTGTAAAAACATGCCCGTGCCTGCGCTCTCCGTCTCTGTCCTCCCTCGGTACCTGCAGGATGTGACGTCAGAGCTGGGAGGAGATCATGCAACAGGAGGAGGCAGATGAGCACTGCGGCCGTCACAATACCGTACTCGGTACAAGTACAAGTACAGATACTTTTCCAGCTCCAAGACTAGACTAGAGAATAATTCAAAAGTTAGGAGGCCGCTGTAATTTGTAAGGAGCACACGGAGCTCCTGGGATTTGTACATCTCTGTTTTAATGTATGATTTTGTTGTTATAAATATATATATAAAGATATGCACCGATACCATTTTTTGCAAGTACAAGTACTGATACATTTTTGTTTATTGTCATGTGACAGTTTTTTCTGAAAACAATGCAGACTAACGATTTCAGGACAGTGGTGGAGCGCCAGAGCCTGGTCCCAGCTGCAGCCATAGCAACCCTGGTAGTTCTTTTTTTTATTATTAACAAGTTTTTTAATTTATAAATATATTCAGAAAATACAGGTATAGCAAAATAGAATAATACACACAGGGCAAGCTCATGGTACACTACAAGACATAAGACATAGAACCAGGCATAGGAAACCGTCTTCGATATCAAATCAATATTATGAAAAGATAAACACATCCAGTCCAAAACAAGGCAATATTAACGAGCAGGCAATTCAGTTTCCAGGAAGAAAGAATTAGTTGTATACATACGCCACATTCACTTATCTCAGCAGCATACCTGGCTCGAGAAGAACTGTAACGGTTTAATTAATAAATGCAAACACTCCCTGGCACGACTTTATCGACCAGGGCAAACTTAATTAGAATAATAATAGAGAGAAGTAGCCAGGGAAGGATCCTGACAAAGAAAAGGTAGAAAATAGAAGATGGAAGATAGATAGATAGATAGATAGATAGATAGATAGATAGATAGATAGATAGATAGATAGATAGATATCGACGTCGCCTCGCCTCTTCACCGAGCAGGCCCGAGCAAGTCGGTTCTCCTCATCCATTGGAACCAGCAAGCTCCACTGCGTCCCATGCTTCCCAGACCCTGTTGTAAAGGGCCAAGTTGTTATTCAGCCTAGCAGTCAGGTATTCGAGTTTTTGAACATCCTTGATTCTAGTATATAAGTCCAAGTCTGTGGGCGGAGTACTACGTTTCCAGTGCAGGGCTATTAGACAGCGTGCAGCCGTCAATACATGCGACGCCAACTTCCTATCTAATTTATGGAACCCATGGGAAGGCCCAACAAATAATTCAAAGGGTTTAACAGTACCCTACGGTGGAGAAGTCCCTTCAAAGCAACGGCCTAATCCGGCCACATTGCCAAAAGATGTGGAATAGAGAACCGGTCTGAGACCTACATCTCCAACAGAGCAAGGAGACACTGGGATAAACATTATGAAGGAATTCAGGAGTATGGCACAACCCTTGTAGTTCTAATGAAAAATGCCAAGTATCGGCTCTGGTATCTGAACATCCTTAGCGGCAATGTTGCACATTGGCACAACTCTTTACCAAACCCAACATTTCAGTTAAAAAAATACACTTAAAGGAGAACTATGAGGTGAGTGATTTTCACTCAACCTCATAGTTCAAGCCGAGGTGTGACAATGAAGCTGTCACACGTCGGCTCAAAAGATCGGGAAGTGAGCGACCACATACCGTCGTTCGCTCACTTTTCGATCATCTCCCTGCAGAGAGTCGTGACTGACAGTGCTCTAGGAAGTGGAATGATTCATCTGTATCATTTTTGAGGAGAGCCACCCCTACTACTGACCTGGTGACCACTGTCTTCGGTACATAAATCTAACAGGGTTATTCACAAAACGGTGAAGAGTTTGGAGAGGGCAGGAGAAGTGAACAATCTAGGACAACATAGCTGAACTGGAAAGTGAGCTGAATTGGAGAATTTTTACAAATCAGCTATGTTGTCCTAGATTGTTCACTTCTCCTGCCTTCTCCAAACTCTTCAAGCTTTTGTGAATCACCCTGTAAATCTTTCTAATATTTTTGAGTTGTCATAGAAAAGGAGGTGAGTGGAAATCTACCAATGGGAAAATCTGTTTTGATATGCTTTTGCTTTAAAGAGATCTCTTCTTACTTTCTGCTGTGTATCTGGGACAGGAAGTAAGGGGAAATCTCCAACTGAACAAAGAAAAGGGGAAAAAAAAACTGAAGTGACCTTGACCTTTCCCTACTCTAAAATTATTTTTAAAAAGTTTTAGCGTTACATGCACTTTAACAAAATTAAAAAACAATTTACCCCATACTATTATAAATTGTTTTGTGAATGCTCCACCAACTACATATTTAAGGTAATTTCCACTCATCCTCATATTTAGAGCCGACCTGTGACAAAGAAGCTGTCACAGGTTGGCTCTATCGATCGGGAAGTGAGCAGAAACATGTAGCGATCTGCTCACTTCTGGATCGTCTCCCTGCAGTAAGCGGTGACTGTCCCTCCCCTCTCCAATCCTCCAGCGCTGAGTGGAGGAACGGATGAGGGAGGGGGTGGGCACAGCTGGCTCTGCCCCTAGATATGGCGCTCACAGTATATCGTGTGCAATAGTATATGTTCTTCCGTGACCCTAAAGAGAACTATGGGGAAAAACACTTACCCCATAGTTCTCTTTTAATGTTGAACATACACACTTTGATTTTCCATGCAATGCATCATTCATTTATATTGAATGCTTAATGAATGTTTGATACAACATAAACTTTGAAGGCAACAAACTTAAAGTGCATATGAAGCCAAAAGTTGTTTTTTTTCCGTTTTGGATAGAGTAGAGAGAGATTAAAAACCCTGTCAGGTTTTTATTGATGTCTGTGTCCCTGTTAGGGAGATCCACCCTCTCCATTAGTCCTGGTGACCATTATCAGGGAATATCAAAGACAATCCCAAATTTTGGGTTGTCACCAGAAAAGGATTGGATTGGAAGTCTTCCAATAGGGACACTAGTTCTCTGGACCGCCGATTTCCCTCACTTTGGAAGGAGTTCCCCTCACTTCCTGTGGTGGATGTTGGGTAGGAAGTGAAGGGAATTCCCCCGAATGGGACACAGATGTAAAAAAAACAAGTTGAGTGGGGTATTACCCTCCCTTACTCTGTCCCCCCAAAAAATAGCTTTACTTCTAACTAAAGGGGGACAAAACAATGAATGAATGCCCGGGAAAGGTTTTTCCAGGTAATCCCTACTATTTATCCACACTCTTGTAGCTTTGGCCACACAAGGTTATAAACACACAGGTCCAACCAGGGCAAGCATGCATGTTTATGCAATGTCTTCTAGCTGTTACCTTATAGCAGGGGTAGGTGAACTCTGGCCTTCCTGCTGTGGTGAAAGTACAAATTCCATCATGCATCTGCCTCTTGGAGTCATACCTGTGGCTGCCATAGTCTTGCAATGCCTCATGGGATTTGTAGTTTCACCACAGCTGGAGGGCTCACATTTGCTTACCTTTGCCTTATAGGTTCCTAGACATTTTTCTTCTGTTTTAGATTTAGTTGGCTTTTTATACTGCATGTTTCACCCATTGCAATCCACAAACAGACATTGAGTAATAAATATCTTACCATCAGTCATGTCCATCCCTGGGGGTGGTGAACAGTGTCCAGCATGGCTAATGGCCCACACAGGGTACTTCTTGTTATAACCGCAGTACAGGGAGTGCATGAACGTCTTGTAAAATCCCACAACTCCGGGATTACCTAAAGAATTGTAAAATACATCTAGTTATCACTTCTCATCTTGACTAAGAAAATATGTTGCAGTGAAAAGAGGGGCTGCTGTTCCATCAACAATGAATATTCTCTATTATAAAGCACGGTAGAAAATAATGGTTATAGGAACATACACCGATTAGCCATAACATTATGACCACCCACCTAATATTGAGTAGGTCCCCCTTTTCCTGACCCATCAAGGCATGGACGCCACTAGACCTCTGAAGGTATGCTGTGGTATCTGGCACCAAGCCGTCAGTAGCAGATCCTTTAAGTCCTATAAGTTGTGAGGTGAGGCCTCCATGGATCGGACTTGTTTTTTCAGCACATCCCACAGATGCTCAATAGGATTGAGATCTGGAACATTTGGAGGCCTAGCCAACACCTCAAACTCGTTGTTGTGTTTCTCAAACCATTCTTGATCCATTTTTGCAGTGTGGCAGAGCGCATTATTTTGCTGAAAGAGGACACTTCCTGTTATAGGGTGACAACATTCCGTTCATGTCCCCAAATGTGCTCTTGTGCTGTTATCCTGTCACAACATGCACCCCTAGTAAAAATACAAGCAGCCAAAATACATTGTGCAGGCATGGCCCACCACTGACACCATCAGGAAGCTGGTTATGAGCAATTATGCAAAAGCCAGCGCTGGCAGGAGTGCATGTAGTCAGGAAGTGGATGAGAGAGGATGGAAGAGATCAGCAGCACTGGGATACAAAAAAAAAGGAGGCGAAAAGGTGACAACAGCATTTGTGTAAAATAAAATAATAATGGCAACTGTTTATAATTCACGGTGACCTAGCACATTAAGGGGTCTAGTTATCATTTTTTTTTTCAAACAACATTCACCCATTAAGTTACACCATTTTCCAATTTTATTCAGCTGGAAAAATGTGTGCATCTGGATTGAAAAGTGTGTTCATCGTTTGAAAACCTTTATAAATAGACCCTTACATGTTATATAGCAGTTTGCGATGTGATCGACCACACCGCAATGTGAGTTACCACAATACCGTGCATTGTGATTAATAAAGTAGTACATGCGTCCAGTTTCTAACAGCTTAGAAAAACCTGCTGTGTGTTTTCAGGTTGGCAGGTTGCCAAGATTTGCTCCCCACAGAAAATAGCTGAGACTTCAGTGCTTTTGCTGTGAACGTTAGGGATGAATTTCTCCACAAGGCCTATACCTACAGAGGTGGATGAGGGCTTGATTTAAAGTGCTTTTACTACATAAGTGTGCATAGCTTGGGCACAAGTTCACTTTAAAAATAAAATAAAAAGTAGGAGTGGTAAGTGTGGAAGATTACCAGTGCTCTGCGATTTCAGTGCCTTTGTTGTAAACTTTGATGATATATTTCTCCACAATGCCTATACCTACAGAGGTGAATGGGGGCTTGTTTTAACGTGCTTTTGCTGCTTAAGTGTGAATAGCCTGGGCACAAGTTCACTTTAAAAAATAAAAAAAAGTGGTAAGTGTTTGAGTTTAGGCCTTTGTTTTAAACTTTGAGGATGAATTTCTCCACAATGCCTTTACCTACAGAGGGGAATGAGGGCTTTATCTACTTTAGAGTGCATAGTCTGGGCACAGGTTCACTTTAAAAATAGTGGGAAGTGTGGAGGGTCCCCAGTGCTGTTTGATCTCAGGCCTTTGTTGTAAACTTTGAGGAGAGATTTCTCCATAAAGCATATACATACAGGTGTAAATATATATATATATGTAGGTATAACAAGGACAGGAAGTGAGAGAAAATGACAGAAAAATAAAAATCTGAGAGAATTGTAATCAACCCAGAAAAAAAAAACTGAGCTGGAGTCAGGCTTTAATGATGTGTATTGGAGCAAATGGGCACTGCTGTTGGTCAGAGGCGTCACTATCAACAACTGCCCCTTGTCCAGAATGCTGCCAGATCTCATCTGTATAAATGAAAGACATTTGTTTTCAATTCAGACAGTAGTAGATGAGAATTCCCTTATTGTTTGCACTGTAAAATCCATGACTTAGCTCACCCGTACGCTCCCCCGCCTCCCCGCGCCACCTTTAAATTCAGTGCACTTTGTGGATTTGTTTTGGCTACAAAGTATTTTTCTTGAAGTCCAAATGAGCACTTCCACGTCTTTTCAAATATTTTGTCGGAAATGTTCGGCATTAAATCCTCATCATGTGAATTTTGCAGAGCAACAGCTGCTGAATGGAAGCAAATGTTCCACAGGCTGGAGCGCGCCTGCGAGAAGCCAGTGCGGGAAGAAACGAAGCGACCCGCTCCTGAAAGCGAGACCCCTTCACAATGCATTAAACTGTTTACTGTCAACATTCCGAGGTGACCCGCACTCAAGCTCCTCTTCCCTTTAACAGAGCAATTACAATATCCACTTTCAACCAGGCACAAAATTGTATTATCTTTGAAAGAGGCCTCTCTAATTTCTTGAAAAGGATTAACGCGCCCTCGGGAGCTCCGACAATTTCTCCCGGCTTGGAAGAAGTTCCCAAGCTCTGGCGATCATCTGGAGAGGGCAGTGAAAGTAAGGTGTGTGTGTTCTGCCCACCTGTCAGCTCACAGGACGACCTTTGCACAGCCGATCGCACCTGTGACTGATGTTCCTTACAGACAAAAATGTCTTTTATTTTATGTCCTGGGCTTCCCCCTCCTCCCCCTGACCCTTTTCACTAACCAAATGGCAAGTTTAATTTAAAATATTTTGTTCTGAGCAAAACGACTCGATATGAACATCTGGGTTTTTTTTTATATTTGTTTTTTTGGGGAAATTGAAGGATTTTAGTTAAGGTAACTTGTTACAAAATAATGAATACAAATACAAAAATAACTACTCCACTTTTTCTATTAGGCCCTTTTCACATGGGTGCCTTTCAGTTCCAATCAGCAGTGGACCCGTGCACAAATCAGATGCCACTGTTTTTTCCAAAAGCTGAACTCGCCGGACCTATGTTAGGTCTATGGGGAGTTGGATGTGAACAGAAATCAGATTACTCACGATCTGCCACAATCAGGTTTGCCAAAACGGAACTCTGTTCTGTTTGGTTTCCCGGACTTGGACAACGTTGGCGGTAATTTAATGTCTGCTTCGATGGCGCTGCCCATAGACAGACAATGGGTTTCTGATCAGATCAGCCTGAAAAAACTGCCTAGCCCACGTTTGGAACATGTTTTCCTTTGGTTGAAGACGTTGGGGTCTTCTTCTGCAGTCACTGGCTGCTAGGACTGCTGGGCGGTCCTAGCAACCGTAATGTCAGGGGTCTTCCTTTGTTTTCTCTCCTGCAGCTCCCACCTGTGGACTTTAAAAAGGCTCTCCGAAAAAAATGGATTACCCACCCCACTGAAGAATCTAATTTTCCAGCAAGGGAATAGTGACAGAAAGACACCCCTGTTGACACCCGGTGACATTGAGGGCTCTCCAATCTCTAATGTCTATGCCAAGCTTAAGGGCCATGATCCATTGGTGTTCCTGAAGCTAATGGCAATTTACCAGCAACAGAATCACTAAAGAGAGCACCCATCTGCTTCTAGAGTGCTGCTCCCTTGTTGGCCAAAATACTGTAGATTCTCGATTGCCAGCGAGGGAATAGTAACAGAAAGATACCCTGTTGGCACCTGTTGGCATTGAGGGAGCGATGCTATAGGAGCAGGTAAGTGTTAAACCAGTGACCGGATAGATAATGTCACATGGGCCTAAGGATAATTGGGATGTGCGTGGGATGGAACAGCATGATCCCCAGGATGTGTTCAGTCAACCAACTTTCCAGCAGTGCACTTCACTGAACATATCAGCTTGACCAGGTAGCACCAAGGCCAGTTTAAGTGTAGCACCAAGGCCAGTTTTCAGAGTTCACAGGTATCTCATGAGAGATATAGGACTTAACCTTTATATAATTTGGGTGCAGGCAGTGGTTGGTGAAATATTGGAAAAGATGGGAGGTTGCACAAACCAACAAAAGTCCCACTACTGTCCTCTAGTAAAGGAAAATCTCCCAAATGGGCAAGCAGGCAGCAATAAAAACATAATGGGGGTAACAATAATTCCCCTTTGCACAGAAAATAAAAAGAAAATCTGATACAAAGAGCTGTCAATGCGATGGCATATATGGTGTGGGTGATATTTACAGCCTTCTGCCAGAGCTTTTACTCTAACATCCCATGCATGAAAGAACTTAGGATAATCTCAAACTGTTCAATCTTTAAAACAGAAAAACTGCTCAGATCATAAAGGAAATGAAAAGCCGCCCCAGAAGCAAATCAGTAAAACAATTTGCACAATTCTTTAAACAAGTAAGTCAATATTTTTTTATTCTCAGAACACACACGAAAATTCTCCATCATTTATTGATGAAACCATTTGCTCTTTTGGAGACACTAAAAGCTCTAATTAACAAGTTTTGAGACGCTTGTGTTTACTAAACTGACAATTATTATGTGCCAAGTGCGGAATGCTGACCCGGCATCTGCTGGTGAAATCCATTAAACAATACAGCATCTGGATGAGCAGAAGTCACTTCAACATGATAAAAGCAATCTACATCTGTTGAAACCAAAGACCAAATACATTCCTTAACTCCAAGGCACAACCCAATCTGGGGCTCACCACAAAGGTCAATAACAGAGGTTTGGATACACGTCTTCTGCAGGTTATTGACCTTTGTGGTGAGACAAGTTTTTTTACATGCTGACTTGTGAGTGTGCTATGATGCCTTTCTACTGTCTACTGTTTTAAGCCCATTTTGTGTGCACCTTACTGTATAGTTGGTGACGAACTGTTGACTGCGTTTGTCATTTGTTTTGCTTGACCGATTTGGTGCAGTGACGCATGGGGGTTCTCAGCTCCGATTGGGATGTGCGGGATCCCTTGTGTGTTTCTGTGCCTTTAAGGAGGCTGGGCTTCCTCCTGACAAACCTGCACCCAATTTGAAATCTTCTGCCCCCATGTGCTCCAAGATGGAGACTCTCATAGTTTAGAGTTAGGACCGCACTATA